GCTGAGCCTTCCTGTATAAATTATTCACAGCCAGTCCTGTGCAGGCATTTTCTTACTTGATTTTCCCTCTACCAAAATGAGTCTAGCTAATGTCAGGTTGACATAAAACTAGCCAGCACTCCTCCTAAAACCCCTTCAGAATTTTAATTTTCATACCTTTTTATTTCTTTAGGTTCAAATATATTACTAACTGAAGAGAGTAGTTTATGAAGCTCTGTGTTTGGTCTCATTTACTGGTGACTGCAATAGTTGTGAAATTTACTTTGCTTTTTTTTTCTTTGCCAAATGAGATTGTTTATTTTAATTTCTTTCTTTATGTAATAGATGTAAATGTTAAAAATATGGATAACAATTTACATTATTAACACAATCATTCTTTTGTCAGTGCTGTATTTGTGTGTGTGTGTGTGTGTGTGTGTGTGTGTGTGTGTGTGTTTGTTTAAACTCTTGGCCTTTAAAAAGCTTGATTCTAAAGTACTGCCCGAAGCAAATCCTTGAATAAAACCAAAGGGACCAAACCACCAGAATAGTCATGTCATTTTATAGTTTGGAAAATGTCAAGGAAATCATATAGATTTTCAAGTGTGTCCTCCATAGCAAAGTTCTTGTAGCTTGGGCTTCTTCTTTTTCGTTTGGGTGTGCCGTGACTACGCTTCAAAGGCTTGGTTGGATCCACAGCCTCTTGAAATATAAAGCAGAAGAAACTGGAAAAGAAGTACAAAGTATATTAAATTCTTTTACTCACCCTTTGAGTCACTTTATTATCTTTTAGGCCTTGGGAAAAGAGCTGTGTCTTTGTTTTCACACGGTGTTAAGGCAGATATTTCATTACAGCCTCCAAGGGGCCAGGACCAAGTTAATTGCTCTGAACTGCATAGAAGTGTCTTGGTCCCTTTGGGCTCCAGCAGTGAGAGGCACTGTATCTTCTCCCTCCCCTGCCATTTTAAAGAGGCAGAACACAAATACCAGCTCTTCCAGCCCACACATGAAATACGCTCTTAGAATGATCTGCAAATGCTTGGAGGCACGAAGACCTTGACACCCAAGAGCCAGCCGCAGAGCAGCGGGGAGGGCAGAGCACTTTGCAGCTGCCTTTCAAACTCACTGCCCCAAGTCCGCGAAATGATTTACTTCCTGTTGTCTACAAACGAGCAAAATCCCATCTTTAATTTTAGATTCTTCAGGAGCGATATCATTTCTAGTCTATGTCCGCTGCTCGTAATTTGCAATGGAGAAAGCTTATCTGCATTCATTCCCTAGACCATTGCTTTGGCACTTTCAAGGTTTTATCCAAGCATGACTTTTATAACCGTGTGGAAATTGCAGTGATAAAGGATGCATCAGCAATTTTCAAACCCATTTCTTTTTGTGGAGCCATCTCTCAGCCTCCCTTAACAGAGCAGTGGAGAGAACCACAGGTCTTTTTTTTTTTTTTTAACTGTCTTCATTTTTAAAGAGCTTTGTTTTGGTCAATGAGACATACAGCTGTGGAAACAAGGCCAACACAAACTTTACGGTGTTTTTGCATTGAGCATCTAACTACCCTCCATTAGATGTGAAACAGGGGGCTGGCCCACCATTTTATATCCCTTAAAATTGGTTTCAGAGGAATTGGTTGTAACGGAAATGTCAGACCCTTTAAATATCGAACCTTTAAATATCATACAGGCATATGGTTGCAGATGTAACTTTGCCCGTTCTTAGAGTCGAGTGTGCCAAAATGTCAGAGCTGAAGCAAGAAAAAGGGAGGGAAGTGGACTATTGCTCAGGAGGACTTGATGGAAACAATTAGATATGGTGAGAGGAGGAGGTCACCTCACGGTTTTTCTGAGCAGGGTCCTCTTTTCTTTGGAAGTCACAGCCAATGTACAATTTGCAGAACAATGGAGGCTGTGCATTGATGCTCATGGCTCATTGTTTCTTCCACCCTACTTCTTCCCATACTCTAGAGGACTTCCTTTTCCTAAAATAAGCTCATTATCAGTGTACTTCTTTAGAAATGGGTTCAGGGAGTTTGCTCTTTGGGGAGAAAAATCAAACCCTTCCTACTGGGGAACCCAATAAAGCCTGATATATTTGTGGTGTATTTCATACTGTCTTAGTTAGGTTTCTGTTGCTGTAGTAAAACACCATGACTAGCACAACTTGGGGAGGAAAGGGCTTATTTCAGCTCTCAGGTTATACTCCTTCACATTTCAGGAACTCAAACAGGGCAGGAACCTGGAGGCAGGAGCTGATGCAGAGGCCATTGAGGAGTGCTGCTTTCTGGTTTGCTTCTCATGGCTTGCTCAGCCTGCTTCCTTACACAACCCAGGACCACTTGCCCAGCAATGGCACCACCCACCTACATCCATGATTAATCAAGAAAATGCCTGCAAACCTCTTGATGTCATTGTTTTTCTCTGCTGAGTAGTACTCCAGAAACCGGGACCTGTCCTTAGTGCATGAGCTGGCTTTTTGGAACCTGGTGCCTATGCTGAGACACTTTGCTCAGCTTTGGTGCAGGGAGGAGGAGATTGGACCTGCCTCAACTGAATGTACCAGGCTCTGCTGACTACCCGGGGGAGACCTTGCCTTGGAGGAGGTGGGAGTAGCGGGTGGGTTGAGGGGGAAGGCTGGGGGGATGGGAGGAGGGAGGATAGGGGAAATCCGAGGTTGATATGTAAAATGAATAGAAAATTTCTTAATAAAAATAAAAAAAGGATACAAAACATGAACTGTACAAAAAAAAAAAAAAAGAAAAAAAAAGAAAATGCCTCCAGAGACTTACCTACAGGCCAATCTGATGGAGGCATTTTCTCAGCTGAAGTTCCTTTTCCCAGATGACTCTTCTCTTATGTTGACAACAACAGCAGCAGCAGCAGGGAGGATACATAATCAACATAAACAATTTATTTAATTGAATTGTATTCTTTTGCCTACAGGGATAGAAGAAGCCTGGGAAGACACAGACTCAAGTCACACAGTGTCCTAGAACTAGCTGTATGACTCCGAGAAAGCCAGGCTTCTTCTATCCCTGTAGTCAAAAGAATATCAAGATTTGTCCTATTGGACAAAAGACTTGGTGAATTCATAAAGTTAAAAAGTTCTTAAGACATTCTTCTAACTAGTTTTCCTTTATATAATCGCGAAGTAAACCTTTCTTGTGTTTTCCCCAGATACGTTAACTCCCAGGGAGAGTGACTGAAGAATAGACCTCGTGCCCCGCAGGTCAGGAGAGGTGCCTGCCCTTCCAGTTTCATGCCCTCGTTCAGTGTAACGTCCCTGCCATCTCAGCGTGATATCAGATGTCTGGGAGGCGGTGATTTCCTTTTCTAATTATGTAACTTTGTTCATGAAAATTTACTTTACTCTTTCCTTTTATTATAATGAAAACTCCTATTAGAAAGGAAATGCTTAAAAATCAAGTCAATTTCCCAGTCTGCTACAGAATTTCCTCAGTCTTGGAATCGCTGAACTGTTTCTTGGACACTTCTGTGGCTCTCCAGCTCACTAATTGAGTGCTCCCATAAGTCAGTCTGAATAGATTGATGCAAAAGGAAAGAGAAACATTTCACTTCATATTGCTCTGCTCAAGATGTGGGGAGATACCTGCTGAAGGGCATAAAGATTCGAAAATCTATTGGCAGCATGGGGACTATAGTTAATAATAAATTATTCTAGTCCTGTTAATAGCTAAGGGTATAGATTTTAAATATTCTCACACTAGGAAGTGACTAGGATGTTGGGTGATAGACTTGCTAATTGGCAATATGTAGTCATTCCAATGGTGTATCAAACTATTACATTATATAGCATAAATATGCAACTTAGCTGAAAAATGAAGAAAAAAGAGTCTTAAATTTCTTGAACTTATTTATTCATTCCATAACTGTATGAACAAATACTGCCCCCTCCTTTTTTGGTGCTAGGGCTAAGCCAGAGCCTTGCATAGTCTAGACCAATGTTGGACTATCAAGATTTACCTAGCCCTGTACTAAAGTCATAAATCATTGCTACTAACATTTCTAGTTTGTTGATAGAGAATACACAATGAATATTCTAGATAGGATTGTAACATTTGTCCTGCCCCTCCAAATGCCAAGTTTTTAACAATCATACTGAAGGTATGGAAGGTAAGGAAGGGTAATCACAGTGATAATGAGGCTGGTGGTCATACTCACAGACGGTTGCCATGTTCCCAACACTATTAAATTCTTTGTATGTATTTTGTCATTTAATTTCTACATTGTCTCTATATAATAGCTGCCATTACCACCAGCATTTTACTTAGTAATAAACTAACTTAAAGATGCCATCTTCCCCAAGGCCACTGTGTTTACTAGCTGGCAGAGCTAGGATTTAAATCCAAGTCTTTTATAGATCAAGCTATTTTAATGGTACAAACAATTAGACCACAGAACATATACAGCAGGTATTGGATAGAAAGTTGGGGTTAGCTTCTGCTCTAATTCCACAACAAAACATTTTATCAGAGCAAGTCATCTCCATTTGCAATCTGAACACAGTAGCTCTTTGGAGCATGGGGAAAGGACTATACTGATGCCCGCATCTTCAGGGAACTGATGCTCTCTGGAGCAGTGGGCCCTGCAGATTCTTGGCCTCTCCTTTCACCTGGTCTGAGGTGAGCAAGGAGTGCTTTAAGGCGAGTCATGCTTCCCACATAAAGTGACAGAATGGCCACTTGCCAAACCACTTTTCAGCCCTTTCTCCAATTATCAAGGTGAGGGCTCTGAACCTTCACCCTTTGGAGCAAGGCCCTTAACTACATGTGACCAGCAAAATGCAGCTTTTGACACTAGCCAGAAGTAAACAACAATTACCCGTCACTTGTCAAGCCAGTCTCTTTCAGGGCAGAGAAAGCAGCAGAAGTAGGCAATGCTTTTCCATCTGTCAGAGCAGGCTAAGGCCAGAGACCCAGCATAACAATGTAAAGCGGGACTCAGGAGCTGTGCAACCCAGACCTCTTCAGCAGGCAGGAGAGTGGTGAGATGGAGCACATGCATGCATTTCAAGACATCTCCGGATATGGTCCCTGTTTATTAATGTAGAGCTGTGTAGCATACCGTGAGCCCGAGCAAAAGGCACTCTAACGGAGCTGAGTGGACTCATTCCAGTTGACACAAACCCAAACCAAAACCTTCTGAGAAATGTTCCAAGACTCAGGAGGACTTTATTATTTGAATGCTATATGGACAGGGAACTTTTTAAAGGTTGAACGTTGTATCTTTCTTATCCTGAATAATCTTTACCAACTTGGATGAACAAAATGGCATGGTACCTGCCCTACTAAGCTGAATGGAATCCTCGATACTATGAGTTCATTCTGAAAAGGGCATTGTGCCCACAGCATCTATATTGAATCATTCACGTGTTCTGTGTCTTAAGATGAGCCACAACTTTCTCACCTGCAGCAAGGGATAACAGTGCCCTTTTCTCACAGTCGGAGAGAAACAGATGCAAAGGAAAAGGAACAGCACAGTCCAGAAGCTCAGTTTAGAAAAGCAAATCACCGTGAGGATGAAGAAGATTGAACTAAACAGTGACATTGGGCATGTGAACTGCTATCTGTGCCATAAGATATGTGCCAACATACACCAATAGTTTAATTAAGGAGGTACTAAGCATGCAGGATTTGATGTGTCTGAGACATACATGCATGGAAGAGTTTGTACTCAAAACTGCTTTTCTGGAAAGATCTTTGAAATAGACACACAGTCATTTATTATCAAAACATTATTTTTTCTTGATGGTTTACATGCATGTATTGCTGGAGAAGCATCTACTTCTCTAGAAGAAGAACACAGCTCTGTTCAGGACCCAACATAATGCCTGGAATAGTATATGTAGCATAGTAAGTAAGCCTCAACAAGCATTTATTAAATAAACAAATAGTGTATGAAGACAACAGAGAATTAATTTCATACATAATCATAACTCTTGAGATGATTCAAAAGAGATCATGTATATGAAAGCAGTTTATAAGCCATTATTACATTATAAATACTGACTTATAATTGTGGTCCATTATAAAAATCTCTGGCTTGACCATTATGTTACCTTAATAACTCAAGAAAGATAAAGGAGACCTAGCTAGTTGTCTGCTTATAATATTTGGTCATATGTTTCCACTTTTTTGGAATTAGAAACTTTAGAACTAGTTGAAATACTTTGACTAACTTGATATGATTACCTCTTGTTAGCACTGAGTGGTAATTAAGTCTGCAATTATATGTTCAGATTTTCATATCTTTTCTGCATGTGCATTTTGACAGTAATTGAACAAGGCAGCATTTGCAATATCCACTCTGAAATTGTTTCACAATATTTCATTATACGCCAGATTAATTTGTTAAACTCACAGAGCAAATGAAAACTTCAACATTGATCTAATTAATCCAACTGGGGGACTTTCTTGCTAATGTGCCTCAGCAGGGAAAGCCCAAGGGTTGGGCAAAGTTGGGCAAAGTGTCTAAAAAGATTAGGTGTGTAACGGGACGGGGGTGAGCATGACAGCAAGCTTTAGCTTTGCTCCGAGTTATTTTTTCTCATTAAATACCATATATTTTGTGAGAATCAGTTCTGTGGGAGAATGAAGAAGCCTTGATGGGATGTGTATTTGAATCTTGAAAAAACTTGGGGAATTTCTCTCTCTCTCTCCTCACCTTCTCCCTCTCTCTCCTTTCTTCATTTCTCTCCTCCCGCTTTCTGTTTATATATGTTTTAGAACAAAGTGGACTGGCTTAGTGAGGACTGGCCTTTTGAAACTCCACTAGTTCTTTTTAAAGATGGATTCTCCTGTGTCCTGCAGAGAGCAACTGAATTGGCATCTCGTTTACTGTGATAAAAGCCGGAACTGTGAACTACAGAAATGTTCAATATCGGGTCCACTTGAGTACAAGTATTCTCTCATATAAACTGGTAAAGAAAGCCACTCTCATTGGGTGAACAGCCTCTTTACATGCCTGTCAGTTCTGCCATTATAGGTTCATTCATTTGTGTTCCACCACTCAGCAAATGCCAAGGATCTATAATAATGAGCTGACAACTGTGATAAGTGCTGAGGACACCATGGAGATCAAAATTGAATCCAGTTTTTCCTTTTCCCCAGAGTTTAAAATCTGGTGGAGAGGCTCACGTTAATTGTATAGCTCTCTAAATATGTAAGGGGACTATATCCAGGATAAATACAGGAATGTGCCGTACTCCATAGGAGCTTACATAAGCAACGTTGTCAATAAGATCATAGACGTCTTCCCTGAGGAAAGGGTGCTTGTGCTGAGATGAGCATGAATGAGCTGAAGGGTTGGCATGTTGACTGAAGGTGAAGAGGTGATGGTTTCGAGGGACAATAGCTGAGGACAAAGTTCTGAAGCAAAAGGAATTAGGGCTAAGGAGAATGTAGGGATAGGGACACAAAGTGAGAGGAAGCTGGAGAAACCAAGGGGAATGGAGATTTGGCAGCCTCATAGGTAGAAAGGAGAAGTAACACATTTTGGGTGCTTGCTATGTGTTGTATAGTCTTCCAAGTGCTTGATCATACTAGTTAGATTGGTTATCACGGGGCTGCATGAAACAGGTGCCCTTGTAAATCTCAGTTTCCTAGCTGGGAACCTGAGCCACAGGGAGGGTAAGGAACTTAGAGAAGCAGATTTCTGCAAGTGGTAGAGGGGGGTTTGAATGCAGTCTTTCACTAGAATAAAAGTTATGAACACACAATTTGGAAGGGTGCAGCATCAGCTTTCTAGGCAACCCTGTCTTGATTTGTATAATGGGAAAGTGTAGAGATTTGGAGAGACTTTAGGGACTTCAGGCACTTTGTAAAACGATACCAAAAAATTTTGACAATTGTAATGTCTGAAAGCAGCTAACTTCCATTAGAGTCTCAAAGGGCTTCAGGATTCACAAAAAAACCAAAACCAAACCACAGATCTCTATAATTTAACTTTGTAAATTTAGATAAATCATATATTCTCATGATGTTGTAAGGAATAATTTGTAAAGATTTATAAAAAAAATGAAAGAATACAAGATCCTGTGTGTCCTACAGTGTGGTTCTTTCAATGGTGATATTAGTATTTGAGTGATCTTAGGACAAATTACAACCAGGTGTGTGTAGACTTTAAATCCCATTTCTGCTACTTAATAAATTCATGGCCACAGTTGAATCATTCCAGTTGAATTTTCATTTCCATATTTGCATTAATAAGGTCTATATCCTATCATAAGGCTAGAGGGATATAACATGTGAAGCACTGTGCTTGTCATGGAGCAGAGCTGGTGACTTTTGTCACTGGGATGCTGCCTAATGTGTCTTTCTAGCAGAGGAATGAGCACTGTCCAATAAGGGGCAACTTTCTCTAGGGAGTATGCTCCAAACACCCCAGGTTCCCAGTACCTTCCTCAGTAGGGACGTGTCCACAGGTGGTGAAAAGTGTAGACCCTGAAAGGAGAGAAGAGAGGTCAGGATCCAAGTTGTTCTAGTTCATCATTCCAGAGTCCAGTGCTCAGTGCACAGCCCCAAGACAGAGCTCAGAACGGTAGACACATCCAGCTCTGAGTGCAGTCCCCTAACGAACTGCAAGCTTCAGTAGAAATGATGATTAATTCTATACAGTCTTAAAAAA